ACTTTGTCAAAAAAAAAAAAAAAAAAAAAGATGGAGGAAACTTTAAAAAATCCCAAACCTATTATATCCGAATGCATGGGGTTGGTTTGGTATTCTTTACAGCTCCTCAAATGACTCCCAGGGACAGCCAAGTCTGAGAATCACTATTTTGGGGAAAAGTCCAAGTATGTAGAGATCAACCTTCACTTAACTCCTTTAGGGTCACATAATCCAAGATTTATTGGTGTGTGTGTGTGTGTGTGTGTATGTGTGTGTGTGTGTGTGGTACCAGGGATCGAACTCAGGACCTTGTGCTTGCCAGGCAGGCAGGTGCCAAGCTACATCCCCAGCCCCCAAGAATGATTTTAAAGATAAGGGCTGGATCTACCAAAAAGAAGCACTGTATGAATAAATACTACTCTAGAGATGCTCATTGTGTATAATTTCCTGCACTATTGCTTAAATCAGTAAATGCCTTTTATTGGAATTTTAAGTTTTCCAGATCCTATTAAAGGTACACTACAAATGTCACCATGTTTCATAATATTCAAAATGAAAAGAACAAAGTGTACAGATTTGGTGAACATAATTCTAACATGTAAAATCTACTTCCTTGCCTGCTCAGATATATGATCAACTCTGTTTCACAGAATTTCCAGCCAGAGACAAAAACATTCAGCTTCTTGTATGTAAAAATAGCCAGTAACACCCAGTTGATTTTGCAGAAAATGAATGAGTGACTACATGCAAATGATAAAGCTAAAACGGGTTGGCTTGAAAACACTTCAAAATATGACGAAAGGATGGGGAAAAGGGGACTTGAAACAGGATGAAGATGTGTCACGTACATGTGTACGTGTACCAAATATCTACAATGACAGTAGTCATTATGTATTGCAAACATATACTAATAAGTACATTTTTAAAAACATGACTAAAATTGGTCCCTGCTAGAATTAATCTGCTTTTGATCAAGGAGAAACAAATCCCATCTAGAGATTTTTAACTTTCTTAAAGCCCATACCGATAATCTAATCATAGCAGCAGAAGTTATATTTCTCATGTGATTCTATACCAAATGGCTCTGATGCAGAAAACGTATGTGATGTTATTTTTTTTAATTTGCGTACTTTACCGGCTTACTGTCAAGCCACAAAGCACTTATGAAACTGCCACTCAAGATTTGTTCTATAGGGGATCAATAAAATAGAAATCACACACCTGAAAAATGCTTCAGAACCCTTTTTAAAGAAGCACCAGTAGAAGATATGAATAGAAGGAGTTAAGTGAGGGAGTACACGCTGCTATTTTGTTATCACAGGTGCTGTGTTTACTTTGAAAACATTCTAATTTTCAAAGTTTTTTTTTTTTTGGTACCAGGGATCGAATTCAGGCCCTTTCACTTGCAAGGCAGGCGGTGGAACCACTGAGCCAAATCCCGGCCCTAGTTTTCAAAGTTTTGGAATTAGGGTTGTATGTAAACTTCAATACCCCATCTATCAGTAGATTAAGTTTTTATGGACAGCTATTATGCTTTTTTTTTCTGATACCGGAGATAGGACTCAGGACCTTGTGAAGCAGGCACAGGTGCCACTGAGCTAAATCCCCGGCCCAGAAAGCTACTATTCTTGTAACTTTCCCTGCTGCCTTCGGATCTCTGGTAAACGGGTAAAACCCAGATGGTGCGTGAGTAGGTAATGCTGGAGAGGGTGAGAGTACTGCCCGACTTGAAGATGGATGTTGTTTCACAAACGAGCAAGGTCCTATACTTTCTGCAGTCCAAGAATCTGTACCACATCAGTAAAGTAACAGCTACTTATGCAAATGCAATTTAACTGTTCAAATCATAACATCTTCCTAAACGTTTCCTTCTTTCTAGTCATATATTAAACTCTTGCCTGACCCATGATAGATACACCTTGTATCTATCAAGGTGCAATGATACACAGTCTTAGCCTCCTGACTAAAATTGTTTTATTTTTATTCCTAAGGTTGAAGAAACACACAGAAATCAACTGAATGAGGGTAAATCCCAACAGCTTTCTTGGAGAATAAAACAAAACTCATTTATGGAGAGGAATAATTACTACTTGAACAAATGGAAATAAGAAACTAGAATATTTTCAAAATACACTATAAAATAAAAACCTCATCCTAATCTTGTAAGATTCACTATTAACTATATAGATGAATCACTTATATAACCAAGAGGCTATATTGCCGATACTTTTTATAAGATCTGTTAAGAGTTAGCATTTCTCAAATTTGCCAACAGTAACTAGCCTTTTTTTTTTTTTTAATAAAACACAAAATTCTCTCTCTTGCCGTCGTGGTAGCTGGTGCCTGTAATCTCAGCCCTTTGGGAGGCTGCGGCAGAAGGATCACAAGTTGGAGCCCAGAATAGGCAACTTATCCACCTAGCAACACCTTGTCTCAAAAAAAAATTTTTTTTTTATTTTTAAGAAGCTGAAGATGTAGATCAGTGTGAAGGCCCTGGGTTCAACCATTAATTTTGTAAGAGGGGGAGTTCTCTAAATTAGGGAAATTCTAGGTGATGAGGTTTTTACTCTCTGTGTGCTTCAACATATGGTGAACTATCCATGGGAATAATTGTTCCGGAGAAGCAATCAGCCCCCTGGAGATCTCCCCATAGAGGAAGGAAGACTGAGCTGGAAGCCCCCCCATATGTCCATCCAAGAGAAGGCGTACACCAGACAGGAAAATCTGATGAGAAAACGTTTTGGCTGGTCATCAGGTCAGGAGTCAAGTATGCAACCTTAGGCGGCTGGTACCGCCCTCGGGAGCTGTTCCTGCTCCCGAGCAAGTGGGGATGGGGATTCGCAGCCCTGGAAGGGCAGAGAGGGGCAGAGAGGGGCAGAGAGCGGTCAGGGGCGGTCTCGGGCGAGCCACTTACGAGATGTAGGCTGGGTAGCCAAATCCTATCAGGTTGCACAGGAGAGAGGCTCCATACCCAAACACTAGGTACAAGGCCAACAGCCCGATGACACCTGGAGACGGAAGAGCAGAAGTGGGTCGGGGGCCCGAGGGGCGCGGGAGCCCCGCCCACCCGCGGGCTCAGCCTGTTCCGGGCGTTTTCCTCCCCGCAAGACCCGAGGAAAACCAACCACGGGGACTGGGCCTGCACCTCCGCGGGGCACTGCCGCGGGTCTAGGGAGACCGCAGCCCC